TTAACGGCGACACCACCCCCCTCCTCCCCGCCCTGATGGGGGGACGCTGCCGTCCCCGATGATGTCCCTTCCCCCGTGCACCGGGGACGGGTCCCGGTGCAGCCACCCCCTCCTCCGCCACCGACTCCAGCCTCCTCTTCGGTAGCCGAATCCGGACCAGGACCCTCCCCGGCGCGGGAGTGGGACCGAGCTCCGGCCGGCACCGGGGGTCCCACGGGGCCACCCCGGGGTGAGTCCCCCCCCCTTCCTCCCCAGCGTCCCCGGGTGCCACTGCCGTCCCCCCCGTCCCACCCGCTCCCCAGCCGTAACCCGGGCCCAGCCCATCCCGGTGCGATTCCCGAGGGCGCTGCCGCCCCGTGCCCTGCCCGCAGCCTCAGCGCAGGCAGGATCCGACCCCAGCATCGCCCCCCTCCGCCCCATCGCCCCCCCGCAGAGATGCTCTCACAAGGGACGGCTTCGGCAGCGGGAACCTGGTTTTAATTCCAATTTAAATCCCATTAATACAAATTCAACCTTATCACTAATGACATATCTTAGTCCTCAAGCTGTTTTTGCCCCCCGCCGGGGGGGTTCGGTGCCAGCGGGGCTGCCGGCAGCTCTGCCCGGTGCGGGGACACACTGAGAAAAAAACCCCTTTTTTTCCCCAAATCCGCCCTTTTTCCCCAAATCTGCCCTTTCTCGGCGCCGCCGGGGTTCCTGTACCCCCTCCTTGTGCCGTTGGGCAAGGGGTGGCCCTGGCAAAGATGGGGTGCCCCCCCCCCCGAAGTCACGGAGGGACGCGGGGACGTCGGGGAGCCGCGGGTGGGAGGAAGGAGTTGGGGAGTTTGTGGAGGTGCAAGGGCACCGCCGCTGCCTGCCTGCAGCTGCCTGGGGCTGGCTTCGCTGCCTGCACGCTTGCTGCCTGCACCCTGCCTGCATCCCTGGCCTGCGCCTGCCCTGCTTGCAGCTCTTCCTGCCTGCACCCTGCCTGCACCCTGCCAGCACCTCTCCTGGCTGTACCCCTCCTTGCAGCCTGCCCGCGCCTCTCCTGCCCGCACCCCTGCCTGCATCTCCCCCGCCTGTACCTCTGCTCTCCGCGCGCTTGCCGCTCCGCTCCTGCCAGCAGCCCTTGCCTGCATCTCCCCTGCCTGCATCTCCCCTGCCTGCACCCTGCCTGCACCCTGCCCTCTCATCCCCGGGCTGTGGGACCGTCCCGCGGGGCTGAGACACACTTTCCGCCACCTGCCCCGTGCCGCCAGCGCAGGATGTGGCCGACTCACCCGCGCCAGCCGCCCTGATTCATCTCACACCGTGCTGGCGGCCGCGGCAGCACCGTTCCCACGGCCTGGCACAGCCCTGGCACTGTCCTGGCGCTGCCCCTCACCCATCCCCTCCTGCCTGGGGACGGGGACAAGACAGGCTGCCTCGGCTCCCAGCGGGTCCCCGCTCCGGGGAAGGGACAGCAGTGGCAGTGCCAGGGCAGCACCGCCAACCTCCCGCCCTGCCGGGCTCGGCTCCCGGCCCACCCTCCGGCATTTTGGGGACACCAACCCCAAGGGCTTGACCCGCCCCGGCCACCCACCGCGGCAGGGATGGGGACGGTGTCCCTGGGCTTGGCCAGGACCCACACGGCACCGGGGATGGAGCCTCCACCCGTGCCGTGCTGTGCCAGGCAGCGCCAGGCTGTGCCGTGCCATGCTGCGCCATGTTGCGCCATGTTGTGCCACGCTGTGCCGTGCCACGTCGCATCATACCGTGCCGTACTGTGCCAGGCCGTACTGTGCCACATATCATGCCTTACTATGCCGTACCACGCCACACCATACTGTGCCATGCCGTGCCATACTCTTCCATGCCACACTGTGCCACGCCACACCAGTGCCATGCTGTGCCATGCTGTGGCGTGTCAAGTTGCGCCATATCGTGCCATACCGTGCCATGCCATACCCTACTGTGCCATGCCATACCATACCATGCCATACCATGCCCTACTATGCCATGCCGTACCATGGCACACTGCGCCGTGCCACACCGCACTGTACTTTGCCACGCCACCACACCCAGTGCCGTGCCGTGCCGTGCCGAGCCCCGCAGGCGGGCAGGCCCTCGTCGCCGCTGTCGTCGTCGTCGTCGTGGGGCGGAGGCTGGGGCGCGTGGGCCATGCCATACCATGCCCTACTATGCCATGCCGTACCATGGCACACTGCGCCGTGCCACACCGCACTGTACTTTGCCACGCCACCACACCCAGTGCCGTGCCGTGCCGTGCCGAGCCCCGCAGGCGGGCAGGCCCTCGTCGCCGCTGTCGTCGTCGTCGTCGTGGGGCGGAGGCTGGGGCGCGTGGGGCGGCGCGGGCGCGGGCGCTGC